TAAATATTATAACAATAAGTAATAATAGAATTAAATAAATAACTTACTCTCTATATTATTAAATAATTTTTTAAATAAAGAATTTAGTTAGTTTAAATTTTATGCAAATATTATAATGATAAGTAATAATAGAATTAAATAAATAACTTACTCCCTGTATTATTAAATAATTTTTTAAATAAAGAATTTAGTCAGTTTAAATTATATGTAAATACTATAACAATTGTTAATAATAGAATTAAATAAAAAACTTACTCTCTATATTATTAAATAATTTTTTAAATAAAGAAATTAGTTAGTTTAAATTATGTGCAAATATTATAACAATAAGTAATAACTAATAAGGATGATCATTGGTCCTACTGGTCCTACTCAACCCTAGACTGGTCAGTCCCAGGACTTGTAGGACCAGACCACGGTTTTGCATTTTTTTGTGTGCAGTAGGACTGGTCCTGAGGACTGACCAGTCCTCATACTGGTCTTCTCATAATAAATGATTTTATATTAAATTTAAAGCTCAAAAAATTTTTTTGTTTGCAAAAAAAAAAAGCAAAAAAAACTGATCAGTCTTAAAAAGACTGTGGTTCTTAAAAATACTGATGGTCTTATTGTATGTGATATAGGGCTGAAAGACCACAGTCCTACACCAAGATGGACTGGTTTGTCTTTTCAAGGTGTAAGACTGTAAGACCATGATCTTTTAGGACCAATGAGCATCCTTAGTAATAATAGAATTAAATAAATAACTTACTCCCTATATTATTAAATAATTTTTTAAATAATGAATTTAGTGAGTTTAAATTATATGTACATATCACAACAATGAGTTATGATAGAATTAAATAAATAACTTATAACTTACCAACTAAAAGAAATTAGAAAATAATTTTTTAATTAAAGAATTTAGTTAATTTAAATTACATTTAAATATTATAACAAGAATTAAATAACTTACTATCTATATTATTAAATAATTTATTAAATAAAGAATTTAGTTAGTTTAAATTATATGTAAAATATTATAACAATAAGTAATAATAGAATTAAATAAATAAATTATAACTTACGATCTGTTTAAATAAAAAATTTAGTTAGTTTAAATTATATGTAATTATTATGAATAAATAACTTATAACTTACCAACTAAAGAAATTACAAAATAATTTTTTAAATAAAGAATTTAGTTAATTTAGTTAATTTAAATAATAGAAATGTAAGTATTCTATAACTTACACCCTAGTATTATTAATTAATTACTGTATTAGTTAAATATAAATATAATATAAAAGTAATTACTGTAAATAAATATATCACTTACAATCTAGTTATTTAAATTAAGAATATAATTAGTTAAGTTATATAAATATTAAACAAATAAATATGATATTGTAACTTACCTTCTGTAACACAATTAATTATTAAATAGTTAATTAAATAAAGAATTTACTCAATTTAGTTATTTGAATATTATGCAAAATAACAAAATAAAGAATTAATAACTTAAATAACTAATAACTTACCAACTAAACCATTAAATGAATTATTTAATTACATGAAATGTGATAAAAATGATAAGTAATTCCATTATTATTCAGTTATAAGATAACCTATATTAACTTACGAGCTATATTTGTATATTATATAAGATATAATTATTATAGATAGTATTTAAATATAAAAACTTAATATTTTTACATGCTTAATATACCTTTAGATTCCTTGGTACTGCTTTTTGCAAATTCTTCAAAGCCACTTTCTTTGAATTCCTTAGAGCTATTTCCTTCAAATTCTTTAGTACTGCTTCCTTCAAATTCAATATTACTAGAAACTAGTTTTATTATATTGTAAATTTGTTTAAAAATATTAGAATTCTAATTGTATTAAATGTTTATATTATATATTGATTATTACCTTTATCATCCATTACTATACAATTATATTAAAATTCTTTCTGACTGGAAAAGATAATGTAAATATTCTTTTTTTCTTTTTTTTTATTATTAAACACCTTTATAAGTATATATATATGGTAATAATATTTATGCAAAATGCATTATGCGCAAAAGTGTTGATCATAAGTACAAGCATTATGTACAACAACAAATTTTGCACATATATCTGAAATGTGTGTCAATCATGAATCATCAAGCCTCATTGTTACACAGCAAAAATCATGAAAAAAACATTTTCTTAATTCGCACTTTTTTTGTTAAAACCAACTTGGAAATGATCAGTTACATCTGTTACATCTAAAGTGGTGATCATGTAGAATAAACTTTTACATCATTACCATAATTTTTAAAATTATATTATGTAATTTCATAATCTACATATGGTGCTGATACTCGACAATCACATGATTTTGTTTCAATTTTCTGAGCTGATTCTATATCATGTGATCTGGAATTTAGCCAATAAAAAACTGGGATAAGTACTAATAAAATGCAATTTATTATTACAAACCTGAAGCTCAAATTATATGATATATTCTAAATAAAGGTCTATCAATAATTTATGAATTTATTAAATATTAAAATTTCACATTTTTATTAAAGATGTGATTTTATTTATTTATTAATTATTTTCAAATGAAAATTTAGTGAAAATTTGAAGTCAAAAACAAGATTTTGTAAATATTTCAAAATAATTTTGTTTTAATATATATATACTATATATATATTATAAAGATATATTATTATTCGCAATTCTCCATAAATTATTTTCGGATTTTGTTAATACGATATCAATTCCACAGAAACTAACGAATTCTTTCTCAAATTTTCAAATTCTATTTTGGTTAGTAATATTCAACATTCGTAAAAGTTTAACTTAAACTCACGTTGCCTATTATGGGAATTTATATAAAAAGCCACAATTGCCAAAATTGAATAAATTAATTGCCGATCAAGATTAGAGTTTCTGTGTATTTTAGTATTTTAATAGTCTTTTTGATAATTTGTTGCCGATCTCGACATCATTGCAACGTTTAACCACTATTTCTTTTTTCTTTCCTTTCTTTTTTTTTGTTTAATAAATTATTTATTAAAATGGCTGAAATTAAACTAAGTGATGATGTATTTGAACAAATAAAAGATTTTGACAATCATAATTTGACCGAAGAACAAGAATCGTTAATCGATAAACTAATAACAGACAAAGAATTAAAAGAACTTTATAAAGTATTTGGTTTATGTAAAGAATGTAAGCAGCCTAATACTGGTTATTGTGTTTGTTGGCCATGTATTTTACAGCATTTTAAACAAAATTTCAAAAATTGGACAAGTGGAAATCATGACGTTGATGAATTTATTAAAAAAGCACAATTGAAAGCTAAAGATCCAAGGCATATCATAGAGTGGATTGAATATGATAAATTTGAAGATGTTGAATATTTAGCAAAAGGAGGATTTGGAACTACTTTTAAAGCAGTTTGGAAAGATGGAAATATTTTGAGATGGAATTATGATAATAATCAGTGGAAAAGAAATGGTGAGACAAAAGTTGCTTTAAAATGTTTATATAATTCACAAGGTATTACAGCAGATTTTTTAAAAGAAGTAAGATATTTTCTTATGAATCTTCATTATCCTTTATAAATGTTAAACTAACTAGTATAATTTTATTTTAAGGTTGAATCAAATATTTTAGTATATCATTCTGGTTGGACAGTTTGTTGTTTTGGTATTACAAAAGATCCAAAAACAAATAATTTTATGATGGTGATGCAATTAAAAGATGGTAGTTTAAGACAACATTTGAATAACTATTTCATTTCACTGAATTGGAGCCAAAAATTGATGATTTTACAAAGTGTTGCAAATGGTCTTAAAGATATTCATCATGAAGGTTTAATTCATCATGATTTTCATTGTGGGAATATATTAAGTAACTTTATTGGCCAAGCTTATATTACTGATTTGGGACTATGTCAACCAGCAAATGTCGGATTCTCTCAAAATAGTAATAAAAAAATATATGGAGTATTACCTTATGTAGCACCAGAAGTTTTAAGAGGAAAAGAATATACACAAGCAAGTGATATTTATGGATATGGAATTATTGCATATGAAATTTGTACAGGTTTCCCACCTTATTATGATATAGCTCATGATGAATTTTTAGCAATGAAAATTTGCAAGGGGTTGAGGCCAAAGTCCAATTATAAAATTCCTCAATTAATTTTTGATACTATTAATCAATGTTGGAATGCAGACCCTTTAAAACGACCTAATGCATATGAATTATCTAGGTTATTTTATGGTTTATGGGCTGCTATTAATAGTAGTAAAGTGGATTCTGTAATTTATAGGCAAGTTAAAGAAACAGATGATATTAATAAAAACTTGTCATCTTCAATGGATCAACCACCATTATCATCTACTAGTAATCTCTTATATACAACACACCCTCAAGCAGTTTATACAAGTAGTCTTTTGGATTTTAAAAATCTTCCAGAACCCAAAAATGCAGACAATACTGATTTAGAATATTCAGGTAACTTTAATTAAAATAATTATTTAATTCTATTTAGAGTAATAATTATTCCTTTATTTTACAGATTCCTTAAAAATGGATTTTACTAAACTTGATATTAATTCTAAAGGTAATTTCTTTGCATGTGATTTTTTTATCTATTAAATTTAATTAAACTATTTTTTTGTTATAGATGGAGGAAATTAAAACTTATTTTACTTTTATGTAAATATTTAGTATATAAAAATAACATCAGATATAAATTTTATTCTTGTTTTATTATTATTTATTATTCATATTTGAAAAAATTATCAAAAAAAGAAGTAATAAATAAACTAACTATTAATATTCCAATTGTATTAATAAGTAATAATTAAGTTTGATGTAAAATTACTTTTCTATGACGTCTTTATTACAGTAGAATACACCCACTAGAAGTTCATGTAATAAATGTGGCTTAATAAAGTATCTTTGTATGTACATTATGTAAGGATGGTTCTAAATAAGTTGTGGATTATTGCGAAATAAAATATTATTCTTCGATAATATTCTTTATGATAGTAAGTATTGGCTTTTTATTTTAGAGGTTTGAACTGATTAACATTAATAGATGATTAAGATGGTTAGCCAGTTAGGGCATCTCAAAAATCGGTCAATTTATTAAAATTAATAATGCAACCAGAAATGATGAAATTTCGGTCACATATTCTCCAAAACTCAAATTTTAACAAACGGATTTTTTATTAATGTTTTAATAATAAAATTAATTAAATATGGCTTTATACAACTAATTATATGAGTAAAAATAAATAGGTACAATCTGCAGCCAAAAAAGAATTTATAATATTTTTTAATATTAATCGATTAATTAATTAAGGTCCTTGGTTAAACAGTTTCTAATCAGTTAAAGTTTTTTAGATGTTGATCACACCTCTCTTCATTTTATTTGTAGCCAATCGTTAAATTTCAAACATGTTGATAGTCAATCATGTGATATTTGTTTATTAAATGAATAATCGTAGAAAAATAAACTATTAAAATAATCTAAATTAATCATACGCAAAGATTATTATTACGATAATTGTAGACTAACATTATTTTCAATTTTAAATAATATATTAAAGATGATATTTGCACAAAAAGAATACAAAGATTCGTAAGATATATTGAAAAATCAAAAGGATTACCATCTAATAATTTAACGATTTTTTTAAACTTCATTTGAAAGTTTCTTCAATAACTTTTTTAAATAATGATATGAATGTTTGAGAAATAAGTGTTTAGAATCGTAGCTAATTTTGTGAATAGGCTAATATAGTAAAAATTTCCATCTATTATATTGTACAGTAATGTGGTGTCGCAGCTCTAAAATTTCTAATTATAATTTACAAAGAGATAAAATGAATTAAGTTGGTAGTAATAACTTTCTGTAAGTTCACTTTTTTTTCAAAAAAAAAGAACATAGCCAGATTATGTGAACAAATTGTCCGACTACTTTGGAATTTGTGTAAAAATTGACTGTTAATCATCACATGGGTTATGATATTGCTAAATATATCGCTTACAATACTTTTAATTACATAATATAGTAGAATTAATTCATGACAAGCTGACTAGCCTGACTTTTAACAGATTATCTAAAAATGCATGATATTTTGATAATGGATAACTATGATAACCTATAGCTTTTGATGGTAATTGATTAATTGACGCGTTTGGTTAATAATTATATAATTATAATGTCTACGCCAACTTTCATAAGCTAAACCAATCAGAATTTGAGGACAATACGCTATTTATTTGTACAAAAATTAAAAATCTCAGGTCTATTTTATTTATTTGCTGTCAATATAAAAAAATGGCTTATCTTCATATTTTTCAGGTCTATTACAACTCGAGCCTTTCACCATGCAGCAGGTCTGTATAGTTTCTTACTGGGTTTCTTTTTGGTTCTTTGCTTAAACATTTTTTAACGAGGCCATCAACTTACTTTTTTATGATTTCTTTAATTTTCTTTTTAATCTTTTTCATTTAATTATAGATTTTCATAAATCAGAAACTGGACAACTATTAGTTATTTGTATTAAGAAATTATACAATAGCAATCCAGACTTCTGCTCTATTAGGAATTTGAAAAAAAATAGGAAGAGGTGAACATGTTACCTCCTCTTTTCATCTGGATTTTTCAAAAATATCCTGAGTCAGCTGCACATTTTTTCAGAAGGTTTATCCAATTACACTTAATATGATGTATGATAAAATATTGGAATAACTTTTAGATTGTATATGTACAAATTTTAATATTTATTTTTAAAATTAACTAATCAGCTGATTTCTCACTTCCTAACTGGATATTTCCTAAAGGCTAAATGAGGGGTATGGCTAAAAAAGCACTGATTTATGTATATACTGAATTTATTATTCCTCACATTTTTTCATCTAAATTACCAAATATTTTTTTAGAAAGCACGGGTTAAACTCCTGAAGATATAGTTTAAATGTATCTTTTTATTTANTTACCTCCTCTTTTCATCTGGATTTTTCAAAAATATCCTGAGTCAGCTGCACATTTTTTCAGAAGGTTTATCCAATTACACTTAATATGATGTATGGTAAAATATTGGAATAACTTTTAGATTGTGTATGTACTAATTTTAATATTTATTTTTAAAATTAACTAATCAGCTGATTTCTCACTTCCTAACTGGATATTTCCCAAAGGCTGGATGAGGGTATGGCTAAAAAAGCACTGATTTATGTATATACTGAATTTATTATTCCTCACATTTTTTCATTTAAATTACCAAATATTTTTTTAGAAAGTATGGGTTAAACTCCTGAGAACATGGTTTAAATGTATCTTTTTATTTAATAGAGCAGAATTGTACAGTTTTTATGAACTTTTTTATTTTATTTATTTTTTTGTTTTATTCTCCTTATTCTTCGTTTGATGACTGGCTTATAATTGTGCAGCATCCAGAAAATATTTAACTATGTAATGTTAAGGAATGTATTATTTATTATTATATTTTGAAGTATTAGGGGTTGGACACTTCAAATTTGATTTTTGAAAGTGAAAGAGTATGGCGAGAGTAGGGGTCATATTCAATAATTTAGTTTTGAAATGAAAAATTTTAATTAATAAATATAGGTAATTTTGCAGTGTATGAATTAACAATTTTTTCATTATATGATATGTATTGTGATAATATTTGTATAAACAGTGTTTTCATCTTATTATAATTTATAGTTTTGCAAAAGATCCTGAATTAGAATATTATACATTAGTTATGAAATACCAGATATCGTGCTTACCATATTATATTTTCCACTTTTATTGTCGAAATTTTGTAAAAATTTTACAATTAGTTAAAATTAGTTACAATTAACTAGGAGATGGAAGTTATCAAGAGCAAAAAAATATTTCCATAAATCTTGTGAAACAAGATGGTTAATTTTAATCTTTAAAAATTGCGTGAAATTAGTTTGTTTCCATGAAATAGATGTTTAAAAATTGTTTTTATCATTAAAGTATTGTGAACTTATATAGCATCACGGCCGTCGTCCAGAAAAATGGTATCCAGATTTATATTCTGAATCTTTAGAATTAGGTTAATGGTATTAAGGTTGGAATTTTGTTGTATGGGCGAATGTAATATGCAAGTACAAACATAAAAATCTTAATTACAATATATTTTCTTTTTAAAATTGTTTTAATTATCTTTCTCTGCCCATCTTGATGCAGAGAAACTAGATATCAAGCGTTCAAAAAATGAGTTAATGTCTGCATTACTATTTGAAAAAACAAAAATTTTCTTAACTGTTAATAAAAGAGAAAATTTTATCCGGGTATCGTAGAATCCGTTACATGATTGGCAAAAAGTTGGATCACAATATTCTGCCATTTCGGTAATTCCAAATAACAAAATATTCCGCAATTTGATCCTCATATATATGTTACATATTCGCGGAATTTAAATGGAAAAAAACCCGCATCTCAAATAAAAAAAATAAACAAAATTCTTTAATAGAATGGCCTTATTAATTTCTATCAAGATTAATTTATGCAATACGTCAAGTAATTTATGGTACATTCTGTTATGGTCTTTTAATTTCACACACACAGTAATTTTTTCTGTAATATAATCATACAACGTTACTATTTAACAATCTACGATCTTGATTCAATAGTTTAATTGACAATTTATTAATTTTTAAAGGCGTATTTGCAGCTTGTTCTACAAATTAAAAAATGATTATTGTTTTTTATACAAATTAAAAGTTTTTATATTCATGTGATAATATAACTCAATTTTATTTTTTTATCCTTTTCCTGACAAAAGATGTGTGAAGCTGTGGGTACAACCAAGAGTTATTTTGGTAAATCTCATAACAAGCATACTTCAGAAAAGTCTTTATGTGATTTATTATTAAAAAAAAATATTATACTGTAATGTAAGTTATTATTACATTATTATTAGTACATGTAATACTGATACATTTAAAAAAAATTACATAAATAAATAGGTTACTCATTGAGTAACAAAATTTAAAAATTTAATCCCTATTCCTAACGTTATTAACCTTAATAGAAATCTTAATTAATAGTCATGTGATCGAATTGATTAGTTATACTATATCTTACATTTGATTAATTAAAATAATATGAAGTCATAATAAAGTATAGTTGTATAAAAAAAAAATGTGTGTTTCGTTTCAAAAAATTAATTATGTGCCGTATTTAATCGAGTATATCGAAATTTTAATGCGATTTTATTTCTTCTTTGCAATTATTTAACGATAAATTAATGAATGTAAGGTGTACCGAATATGATATCGTCCACTAAAAAAAAATCGTTTGACAACTTATCGCTACGCTACAAATTCGTCAATCTTTTGAGAGTATCGATTAACAGAAATTACGAAAGATTTATGTTGTAAGAAAGTCATTCGCGATAGTATACTTTTAATGTGATAGTTATTGATGATCACTTTCCAAATAAATGTACTTTTTCGCTTAATTTGGTATTTGTTGTGTGATCTTCAAGTATTTTTTCAGAAATTTGGAAGTGTGCAACGTGAACTTTAGAATTCAAATTTATATATATATAAATATGCATATGCAATTGCAACAGCATATGCATATGCATATTCGCAATTTCAATAGTAATACATTATTTAATGCTAATATTTCAAAAAATATTGCT